CAATTAACGCTTAAAATTCTACCATTTAAAGACTAAACTTTTGTTAAACCGCTAAAATGTATACAAAATATTTTTAAAAAAGGGAAAGGATCATCGCACTTTTTCAAAGAACTGTGGCCCTGGACAATCAGTGCGAAGACTGTGTTAAAACTGCTAGAAACGTTGTAATAACGATTAAATAGTCAAAATCTTTTGATGAAGTTCATTGACGCCAAGAAAGATTGAAAATTGAACAAAGGTCAGCAAACACGAGAAAACAGACTTTAAAACTTTTTCAACGTTTTCTGCTGCGGAAGAGACCGGAACTGGATATTCCTTAATCGTTCAAGAAAAGCTAACAGTCATGATAGAGTAGTCTAACTCTGATATAAGACGTGAAGAAGATCAGAGATCGGACTGCAATAGTTTCCTGTTTTGCTTGTTATTCAAAGTTACAGTTGTTAAATATAGCATTTTTTATTAGCCAAGGGAATCGAATGAGAGAGTGCTAAAAGTTGCTTTTTTAGCATTTCTACAGTTTTGGAAAAGACAGAGCAACTTTCTCAGTATAAAGATGATCAGGCGTTTATATTGCGCTCAACAATTGCAAATGCTTGATGAAAACACGCCTATGTTTCCCGTGCCGCTCGGGAAATGCATCTGATTGGTCAGTTTCTGCTACTGAAACCGCGACCAAAGTTTTATTAAAGTCCGCTGAGGCATGAAGGGTGGACCGTTCAGCAAAATACTTTTGATTTATAGAATGGAGTTTCTTTCGCTAGTAAAGCGAACTTTATATATCAGCAGCGTTTCAAGACTTTTAAGTTATGTGAAATAAAGGAAAGAAGAAGGAAAGAAATCGATCTCTTGGCTACGAGTAGTATACACTTTCTTTGAGTGTATTCCAAAACTTGAGTTGGTGGGCTGGCGAGTCTTGCCCTGTTATAGTCAGCATTCGGCTGGCCATACCATTGCGGGTACCTCACTTTTACGGACAACCATACAAAGGACAACAGCTAAATCACCCAAAAAACATATCCTATGTCGAACTATAGCCACTAGTAATCCCTAGTCAGCAAAGAAAGGACAAATAGACTTGCTCTGTGTTCCAAATGTTCGTGCTTTTTTTTGAACAGGAAAAAAACATATTGCTTTTTTAAACTCTCGGGACTGCAAACGCCTTCTAAAGTAAAGATCAAGTATTCACACTCTTTTCATGAATGATATCGCCAGCAGCCTGCATGCCCTTCTAATTTATTTATTCCGCGTGGCCAAAGCGTTTCGGGTCACCTAGTCCAAGCGTATGGCGTTCCATTTCCGCCAAAATTCAATGTTCCATTTTACATTGTACTTTGCATAATCTATCGTACATTTTGTGTTTTTCATTTGAGTTTGCACTCGCGATTCAAATTTTTGCATCCAACATTCAACTTTGATTTATGCAACATTCAAGTTTTCGCTTTCGACATTCAACTTTTCATAAGTAGTAGACAAGTTTTCGAATTCGACCTTCAAGTTCAGTGGGATGTACATTCACTTTTTCGCATCCAACATTTAGCATTTGTCCTTTAAGGTTTCGCTTCCCACATCCGACTTTTGGCATTGTACTTGCAAGTTTCCGTATTCGACATTCAACTTTTCGAATTGAACTTTTACCCGCTGGTCTGCGACCGATGGAGATCGTGGGCTCAATTGACCTAGCCCACCCCCGCTCAAATGGTGGTCGAGAGACTTTCCGGTGGAGTGGACTCGGGAGACGTTCTCCACCGTGTGATAAAAGCCGCCGATCGCCAAGATGCTGTTGCACCTGCTAATTAAAGTGAAGTGACAGCCACTCTTTTGAGGGTAGCGGACTGTCTGTCTACTTTAGAGGAAACGCCATCTTCAAGTAAGTATCGGGCAACCCTTTTCAAGTATATATGAAGACGTTATGTGTTCAATAAAGTTCGTGTTCTCGCCGACACAAGCATATATGTACGGATAATGGCTCAGTCAATTCCAAGCGTGCCCATCATTTCCGACTCCGACTCCATCACTTCCCTACCTAGACTACGAGTAGTCCCCATTGTTCCTCAGGGATAGTAGAGTGAGCGAAATGCGAACGCGTGAAAATCCCCCCACGCTAGAAAAGCCTTTCTCCAATCTCGACCCAGAGCTCCTCCGCGCATGTAGAGGAGAGAGATTACGCGCGCATTCCCAAACCCGTAAGCATTAGGGTCGAGAATGGCGTGGGGTGATTTTCACGCGCGCTCGCATTTCGCCCGCTCTACTTTCCCTGAGGAAAAATGGGGACTTCTCGTAGTCCGTTCCCTACCCCACAGTATATTCTGCATCTGTTCCGCGATCGTTTGCATATGGATCAAAAACAATCAATGTATCGTTTAAAGAGTTTAAAGGAAAGGCACTTCCTTTGTCCCGTGAATGTTTGAGGCGGAAATGCCAAGAAAAACTCTGTGATATATACAAAGGTTAACATAAACTTTGTGTATTGTACGATCAATGCGACAATACCCTGACGAAACGGTTCCATCATGATGAGAAAATACTCATCTTAATAAGGTCGTAGGTTGTTTGTTTATCATTTACTATATTAAACATCTTCGAAACTAATAGAAGTCTTGTAAAAATTCTAGTTCATAGTTTTGTCTTTGATAATTAAAATCCGATCAGTCAGTTATCGGCTCCTGGATCAGTGTGATCTTTTTTGCAATTAATATAATTATAACCAGCTGCTAGGAGCGATTTGCGTAGGGTGCTTCACGCGCGAGTTTGATTAGATTATTACAGATTTCCCATTAATTTGCATTGGTTTTTGCAGTAAATTTACTGGAAAATGAAATTTTGGTGTTGTCCCGGGGTGGGGCATTTACACCCTATTTTAAGGCCCCACCGTGGGATTTTCATGAACGCCTGGCGCCATTGTGGGGCATTTGCAGCTTTTCCCCAAAAAAGACAAATGCTGGGGAGAGGATGGGCACGCATGGAATTGAGTGAGCCATAAATAGCGCCAGGTTGATTTTGATCACTTCACGCGCGCTGTGTACTGGACGGCATCGATCGTAGAATGAAATATTTCCGAAAGCTTTTGCTTGTGTATTTTACTCGTTTCTTTATTTTTTGAGAAGGAATGAATTTTGATTTGTTGCCCACTGCTGCAATCAAAAATCGGTCTCCACAAAACCCCACAGGCGGCTCAAGCTCTAGCCTCCCATGCAAACGTTAAGGGAATATTAAGGGGCAGTTCGTCACATTCGTCAAGCATTCCTCCCGAATCCCCCTTAGGACGTCTGCGTGGGAGGCTACCCAAGCTCTCGCCATATGAGTGATTTCAGAAAAGAATATCCAGCACTGAAAAAAAAATATCTCTTGTGGCATGTAATGCTGCGGAAAGACATGTTACACCGTTATATGCCAGGGAAATATATATATTCTATCTCTACAGGTTTGGGAAAAAAAATTTTACTTTGAGTAAATCACCCATACCTCCCCTCAAAAGTCAATTGGTCGACCCCTAATCATTAAAATTGCACAATGCTTGATTTGTATGGGAATTCAGCTTAAGTAATGATCCGGGTAAGGTGGATAGCAATTTCTTTTGTTATGCGGCAACGGTGCTTTCCCCACATAGGAATATTCTCATATTTACACAGAGAATGCATAAACCTACATGAAGGCCGTTTTCTCAATAAAATGCATTTACACTCCACTTTGACAGGGTGTTTTTTTGTGTTAAAAGATTTTGACCAATCACAAGAGCTGAAAACAACAGCCAAGAAAAGTTTACAATTATACATGTTCCCCACATAGGATTTCTTGGTTATTCAAACTGAGACCAGATTTTGTTATATGGAAGATGGTTGGAAAGTAAGGATGAATATATGTACTGCTTTATGAAGTTTTCTTGACTTTTGCTGTTTAAGCCAATCAGAAGTAAGTACAGACAATAGAAAAGTTAGCACCTTTTTTGCATTCCAACATATTCGTTGCCGTTGTTGCTATCGTTCTTATCTGGACTGTTTCTTAAAGATTTAAGAGATTTTTCATGAAATACACCTTTCCACTAAAGAAGACAGTCGGCTGGACAGCACTCACCTCCCTCGAACACTGTGCAGCGGCATCCAGGCGATGGGCGATGTTCTATCTATCGTCGACGTCTGGTTTGTCGGGAGTGGAGAAGGTCTCCCGAGTCCACTCCACTGGAAAGTCTCTCGACCGACTCTCGACCACCATTTGAGCGGGGGTGGGTTAGGTCAATTGAGCCCACGATCTCCATCGGTCGCAGACCATTGGGTAAAAGTTCAATTCGAAAAGTTGAATGTCGAATACGGAAACTTGCAAGTACAATGCCCAAAGTCGGATGTGGAAAGCGAAAACTTAAAGGACAAATGCTAAATGTTGGATGTGAAAAAGTGAATGTACATCCCACTGAACTTGAAGGTCGAATTCGCAAACTTGACTACTGCTTATGAAAAGTTGAATGTCGAAAGCGAAAACTTGAATGTTGCATAAATCAAAGTTGAATGTTGGATGCAAATAGTTGAATCGCGAGTGCAAACTCAAATGACAAAAACAAAATGCAGTACAGATTATGCAAAGTATAATGAAAAATGGAACATTGAATTTTTGGCGGAAATGGCATGGAACGCCATACAAGCGAAAATGTGAAAATGTTTCCCGCCCGTTTGCCTCGGATACGTCACCGAAATGAATTGACTGAGAGGGAGGAGAGCCCTGGGGAATAAGTGCTCCGCCCAAGCGGGGAGAGCCCTGGAAACGCATTGAAGGAAGTTGGTGGGGTGGGGACGGGTAGATAAATTTTAATTTAATATTCAAAAATAATCACATATCTAAGCTTTTCAAAACTTACAAGTCTTCCCATATCTTTGTTACTCAGTAGCTCTAATTAATTTAGGTAAATAAAAATCAAAGTCATTATGGCAAAAAAATACGATAAAAATACGGCAAATGTAAATTACATTAATTTACGAGACTTACCCTACCCTAAAGGAGTCTGCTTCCCTTAAGAAGATCCACAAAATGGGAAACTCAACGAGCGAACTGAGCGAACGTGAAAGAAAGGAGGCTGACTTTGGAGAGAAAATCTATGATATAGTAAATGAAATATATCCGGAAAGTTGCGAGAATATTACAGGAATGCTTTTGGAAGCGGAAGATGATGAACTGGAGCGACTTCTATCGACGGCAGGTCGCAATGAGCTCGAAGCTAGAATTCATCTAGCAGCAAAAAACTTGATTTCCACGTCTTCAAAATTGATATCCGAAAGGTATTATCTTATTGTTACTGCAAGCTGTTCTTTCATTGTATTTTCAAGTTGATTTCCAGTTCATTATCGCGTTTGGACGCTGAAAGTAATTGGCTGTTTTTAATTCAGTTAATTCTGTTTTGTTTGTAGCTAAAAAAGTGTGAAATGTTGAATAAGATGAAGATGATGACGATGACAGTGACAGTGGAATCTATTGTTAGTCACACCTTGAAATCGAAAGAGTAGTTTTCATTAGTGTCAAATGAAAAAAGCACAAGTTCCAAATTTTATTTATTACAGAAAGAATAACAGGTAGCTGATGCTCAAAATATAGGAATTTCCAGGGCTGTGAACCCCCCATGTCTTTAAACATTGAATTGATAGGGAAGGGATGAAAGTTGACATCATAACCTACGACACATGACATCAATTGTACAAAAAATACTTGTTGACTCCGATCATCACAAATTGCGAATACAGGAAAAAGATGTTGCTGGCATTGTAAAATTTGGCCCGATTGGTTTACTTCTACCCAATCACATTACTACTTATATCACAATGGCATACCAGAGTTTAAGAGGAAACGGTTGATGTTAACAGTTAAATAGCTCAAACAATGCAAAATATTTAAAATTGTATTCTCGCAAAGTGTAGTCTACAAAAAAATGGCAAACTTCGGCAATTAGCCTTGAGATTTCAGACTCTTGTCTGGAGAGCGAAAGATACAGTCTAAAATCTGGAGTCTCCCAGATTATCTGGGAGAGTTGACAGCCCTGAATTGCTCCTGTTGCATAACCTTCAAAATATAAGGATAATATGTTAGGTGAAAACAACTGTTTCTAAAAAACTAAAAAGAGAGGAAAGCCGTGATTTAGTAACACTTTCACCTAACACAAAAAGATAGAATTTCTAAAAAGGCCTAACCTTTCAAGGGGGTACATATTTCCATCCTAGCCATACAGCTGTAGGTGACTGAGGGTAACATCCTTTTTTTACATGTCAAATTTTCAAGACAATGCTAAAAACAGGTGACATAGACTCCTTTGCAGCCGTTTTTATGGTCGTCACACAATGGTTGGGGAGGAGTGTTGTGTGACAACCCTAAAAACAGCTGCGAAGGAGACGCCAGGTGACAGTGTTCCTTTGTGTTGTTGGCCACCAAGAGGGTTGTGCAGGGACCTAGATGAACCTAGTTCCCAGGGTCCTCTCTTACCCGTCTCTCTCACTCCACTGGGAGGGGTAGGAGAGGGCCCTGGGAATGAGGTTGGCACCAAGATCCCTGTGCAACTATCCCTCAACTAACAATGGAAATCATGACCATGCAGCTCCGATAGTTACACAAGGATGGCATGCAGGTTCTTGACAGCACACTTTTTATGAACACAAAATTATTGCTTGGAGTGATGATTACTCCAAGTAATAATTTTGTGTTCATTACAATTATTGGCCCTATATCTGTGCCAAATGATCATCTTAATGCAGTATTCGATGAGGTTGTTAACCTGTGCGGGAGTTGCCGAAACAATGCCCTTCCACGGTCCCCCCAGGAAAACCTTTAACTTGTTGCAATTCTCTCCCTGCATGAGAAACGTCTTTCCTTACAAGAAAGGAATGTGCTATTTGTAGATCGCCCCATCAAATAGAAACATATTCACTTGGACAGTAACAAGGGCTTTAAATGCAAGAAGGGCTTTAAATGCAATACCGTATTTGAGAGAAATAAAACTGAAACTTAACTTGCTTTCAAGTCTTAAGAAACAGAATATTTCTGTTATATAACAGTATTTAAAACCCCTAGAGTTGAACCTGTCGGTGTCACATTTTATAAGAGTAGAATGACTATAATTTTAGAATTTCCGGTTAGATCAGATTAGTCATGTTAGTATCGTCATGCTATAGTTTTGGGGGCAGAGGGATGGGGTAAGGGGGTGAGTTGTGAAAATGTCCCAATTAAAATAATACCAATAGTTTCTTGCTTCAAAGGGCTATCTCTGTCCCATTCCACAGGTTAGGAGTAGTTATACACTAAAGCCGGTAAAAAGTGTAATAATATTATTGTGATCTATACTTCCCAAATCAATAAACCACTGCATCATGCAGTCCCCCATATGGGGGTCTTGTTGGCAACTACTTGGATTTGTATGAGACTTGTATCTCTACTCTAAGAAGCAAACAAAAAATGATTTACTATAAATAGCCATTAGTTCACTAACCCCATGAAAGGTTGTCAATTTCTCCCTCTGGTCCTTGACTGTCGTATCTACAAAGCCAACCTGTTTTTAAATTTAACTCTTAGACTTCAAGATAGTACCAATTTTTTTAACAGCTTAAACTGTTTTAAACAACTTCAGGGAAAGGGATGAGCTGCAGGCAAGTCATACACAAAATGAAAGTGACGAGAAGGTAATGCACAGCATACCAATAAATGTAAAAGAACTGGGTGATTGTGAAAACAGTGGTCTATCAGAGAGAAGAGAGTTGTCACCGTTTGGAAGAAATACAAACTGTTCCATAATATCAGAGGAGAAGCAGGCCATGGGTGAAAAAATATATGCTTTTATAGAAAAATACTACCCGTGTGATGCAGATATATTGACAGGAATCTTATTAGAAATGGATATTCAAAGCTTAGAAGAACTTGTGAATGACAAAGACCTGTTAGAACGAAAGGTGAGAGAAGCTTTGGCAGTTTTGCAAAATACTGAAGTCTCTCAAAATAGTCAAAGTGGGTCTGGATCAAAGGAACACCCCGATAAAGCATTGATTGGAGAAAAGCTGTTTGAATTGGTCAGTGCAATCAATTCAGAACAAGCTGACAAGATAACAGGGATGCTTCTTGAGATGGATGTTCAAGATTTAGAAGTTATAGTTCAAAACCAAGCAGCTCTTGAGGACAAAATTAATGAGGCGTCAATGGCTTTGAACAGCCATCTTAATCACGCAGAAACTAAAACCTTGGCTGAAGAAAACCCAGACAAGAAACTATATGGTGAACAACTTTATTGTTCAATTAGTGAATGGTACCCTGAGCAGGCTGATAAAATCACTGGAATGCTTTTAGAGCTGGATGTCTCCACACTAAAGTTGTTGATTGAGGATTCTGTGGCTCTTAAAGACAAAGCCTTGCAAGCAGCAAGCGCTCTTACCAACATAAATATTATTAAGGAACGTTCACAGTCTCCAAAAGAAGTGAGTCTAGAGACTAAAGACAAAAGAATCTCACACTCTGAAACAAAAAATAATTTAGATGAACAGTTGTGTAGCATCATAAAAGAATGGTATCCAACTGAGGCTGGAAAAATAACAGAAATGATTATGAATTCTGAAAAAGACCGTGCTACTCTGGAAACTTTGGTTTTGAATAAAAAACTGTTGAAAGAGAAAATCAATGGGATGTTGGGTGTAGACCAAAGGAATGCGCCAGATGGTCCAAACAGGTGAGAGTTTTTATTTGAGCCTGTTTATTATGAATAATTAAGTAGTATGTAGGTAAGTAGTCCTAGCTACATTGGACCAAAGTCATGGGTTTTGAAGAAGACTTGCCTGGATGAGATAGGAACCATTCCCCTTTCTTGCTTATTTTCTGGCAGTTTGCTCAAACACTGTATGGAATCCCTTTTTAGAAAGCAATATGGACTCCAGTTGCCCCACCCTTTATTTGGACATCCTTAACTTCTTGTGGGAATAAGGGGGAGAGCTCTGGAATGCTGAATATCCTTTTTTTATTCGACGTAGTTTTATTCAGAAAAACCCCAGTTAACTCTAACATGGTTGACTCAAGCTCCCCACTACTGACTAGACTTGCTTCAAGTCAACTCCTTGCAAGTTCTCGATCAAGAGCAGTCTTTAAAGGGAGTGAAGTGAGCTTGAATGTGATCATGCAGCGACCAAGCAAGCAAAAAAGTCAGCCTAACCAACCAAAAACAGTCTTACTTCTGACTCGAACTAATTTTACTTTTTCCCTTTTCTCTTTTACAGTAAATTTACCCCCACTAAATTGAACCACTGCCAAGTCAAACTATTTCTTGTTTCCCTTGGGGGTTTTGAGGTAACAGAGTTCAATTGAATTTCAAATGTAAGCTTATACTAACTAGACATGAAATAGAGACCAAGGACCTAAGCCTGATACACCCTTATCAACCCAACATTTGTAGGGCAGTTCCTTAGCAGATAAACACCAAAATTCAGGATTTTTTTTGTGGTTTAATAAATTCAACCACTGGTGCAAATTTTACTTTTCCCGGGGGCATTGCTACCTATGTGCCTGTACCCACGTAAACACCTGAAATATTCACCACTTTAGAAATGAGGAGGAAACAATGCAAAGTTAAATTTTGCAAAGACTTCTGGGATCGTTACTGGGGATGCGCCAGTCTAAGAATCGGTCAGCGATTGGCCAATTTTTCCCGCCCCTAATAACCGTCCCAGAAGTCTTTGCAAACGTTAACTCGGCCCCAAAAGCGAAGAAAATACGTTTTTTTTAAAAAAAAATAATGAGGCTATTGAACTGCAGCAGATATAAATAGGTAAAAGTATTTATATTCCATTGAGTTTGTTTATAAAGCGTTTCTCGTTAATGTTTCACAGGCAAAAGACCAAAACTGAAGGCGACGTAACGAAAGAAAAGCTTGGCGAAAAATTGTTTGAGGTGGTTGAAGAAATATGTCCACAATATGCAGACAAAATCACAGGAATGCTGTTAGAAATGAGCGTGAAGGACATCGAAAATCTGATGAACAGTCATCAAGAACTTGAAGAGAAAATACGGCTTGCTGAAAAAGCACTAGTTTAAAATTTTTCAGTATAAACCGCTAGCTCCAGACTACAGTTCAGATCAGGCCCTAAAGTTTACCAATATAAACTTCCATGTTAGTGCTTTTTTTTCACTTCCAGTCTATTTGTAGCATATAATGCGGGATGCAGAAAATTTAAGTCGAGTTGGGTCCTTGTGACCTTTTTAGCCAAAATGGCATCATGGAGTAAGATTTTAACGTAATTTTACTAAATAACAAGGAGACACAACGTAACTTTGTACTCATATTTTTGTCCCATAATTCGCTACTTTATACTTGAAGGTATTCACGCTATATTACAAAGAAAAAACGAATTCAGTTTCCCCATTTGGAGAACATCGCAATTTGCGTTAATTACATTTAATTAATTTTTCTTCAAACGAGCGACTAACAACTCGTGAACACCCTGAAGCAACAAAGCAAGTCCTTGTCTCCTACGAGCATTTCCGCATGTATAAACAAACAAGCCCTGAAAAATCCGATTGCGGGGTTTTGTTGCAGACAAACTCCATTTCTTGTGCTTATTTAATTGGTCTAGACTCCAAAATGTGAGTCGACTTTTAACCAATCAGGGACAGGCTGAGGAACTAAAATAATTTTGGTGAACTCCGTTTTCCCGCGCTTTTTTATCGTTCGTGATCCGATTGGAGGTCCGCATAGCACGCAGAAAAGTGAAGAAATTCTTCAGGCATCCACAGACAGAACCACATTTTTACTGGGCTTTTCACAAACATGCGAATTCTGAAGTTCAAAAGCCAACTGACGATTAGGCAGCGTAGCAGGCGCTTGGAAGTAGTGGGCACAAGAAAAAACGAGCGCGAGATGGAGACACGCTTTGCGTGTCTCCCTCGCGCGCGCCCGTTCTCTCTTTCGCCCGCTACTTCCAAGCGCCTGCTACGCAGGCTAACTGACGATTGCGTTTTTCGCTGCCGTCAGTCATCTTAACAGACCTCTTAGGAAACAAAACTTTACTTTAACGGGTTCAAAAGGTCAAGGTTTGTGATTTGTGATTGGTGGATTTTGATCCGTTATGTGTGTTTCTGTGTTTCAAGGTTCGTTGCTTGTGATCGTAATTATGATTGACGGCAGCGAAAAATGCAATTGTGAAGGCGGCTTTTTAACTTTAGAGTTCGCATGTTTGTGAAAAGCGCAGTAACTAAGATTTGAATTTAATCCGCGGGAAATGAAATAACTGTCTTCTGCGTAAATCCTGCTATCTGGAAAATCCCCGAACAGGCGGTTCCTCAGCAGGGGAGGTCTTGTTTTTGAGTTCCACATAAGTTAACGCGGAAATTGATTTCTGCTTCAGTTTGTATCTGTCCACCCAGGGGGATGGGGAGCCATTTCTGAGTGAGTACACTACCCTCCTTGAGTCTTGTTTTGTTTTCAGACGGGACTCGGATTCGTTCGGAAAAGTGATGGGCTCTGATCGTAAGCTGCTGTTTCTTGAAGTTGCATTCCGAGAAAGCACTGCTCCATCGTGGTATGGTGGTGTGTTTGGATTTGGAACGAGCTCTTCGAGAGTAAGTTCCTGAAAAGTGAGAAAACATCGCTTTAACTAAAATAGACAGCGAGCAGTCTCTTATTTTTCTTTGCAAAGTTACTGCACGCGATACCCAAGCACGCGAGCGGCGAGGCCGCGAGCCGCGATAAACATACGATAAACAAGGCTGACGAGGGTGTCGTCTGGTCCCAATCCGTTATTGTAACATAACGTCGTGGTTTGCAATCGCGCTGGCTGAGATAAGAACTAGACGGATTTTAAGAGAAAAGGCGAACTGCAAGCAGTCTATAACTAAAAAAGACAGAAAAGCAAATAGATTTCTCTCCAGAGAAAAAGGACGAGCATGAATTTTCATATCCTACTGAAGTAGAAGCTAGTCCACGGTGTATTTTTTATACAGTCCAACCTCCACAAACGGCCACATAGTCCACACATTGACTCTTGCTTAAACCTCTCTACAACGGCCACTTTCTTTTGTCCCAGAGGTGGCCATTTTGGAGAGGTACAACTGGCAAATTTACTTTAAAACGTTATCCGGTTTTTAAAAACCTGGGGAAATTCAACAAGGATTAGTCTATAATGGCTGTCTCTAAGACGTCGAAAGTCTTCGTTCTGCACACACGTGTTGTACATCATGATAACTTTATTTGGAAACTTCAAAGGGAAACAAATATAAACCATTTGGGGAGAAAGTAGTAAAGGATCAAAAACGTCAGAGGTAAGAATGTTTTAAGTGGATTTTTAAAACGTTAAGTCTTTCTTCTTGTAACCGTTTAGGCAGCCTTAAGAAGTCGCCAATTAGCGGTGGAAAAACTCCCAATACCAAGTGATGTAAGTGCTGAAAGTGTGAACGAGAATTTAGCGCCCTTGAGGGTCCTACGCGTGGTTTACATGGTTACATGTACAACTCACTAATGAAGGCGATAAACTCTTTTGTTTCCCATCCTCTACGTCCACAATCAGTCACCCGTTCGGTCAGGCAAAAATGAATCTCAAAGCTAAGACCACGAATCATGCAATTCAGCAAGGTTATTTCTAGCTGTAAACATGTTTAAGCACTAATATTTAAAGAATGAACGACATAATGTGTCGTTCACTCGTTTTCAACGGGTAATCGTGTTAACAAATAAAATTCAACAAACGTTTACCAATTGGTGATAACGAAACGCAAAAAAAAAACGTTTGTTTTCACAGAAGAAGGGATAGTGCTCTTAGCTTAGTACATAAGGGAAAACATTTTTGTTCCGTGGTATGTTTTGTTGTTTTTTTCTCCTGAGTTTTTTCATTTTCCAAAAAATTGAGTTGGTCCAGGGATGGCCGGAAAGAAACGCACATCGTAACATCAACCTTTGAAGTCTTTAAAGACATGCTAACCGGCTTCCTTTTAAACCAACTCGTTACGATAAAAATATATCAATATAAACTAGAAAACCTACAGCTTAAAGCATCCCCTGGAAAGTTGGACCCTTTAGAGAGCGAACTAAATAAATTTCGAAAAAAAAGTAACAGGAAAGCCGAAAGAAAAATTTCTCATGCAGAAAGCCGGTTTCTTGCCATTAAGTTTTGTTTTTTTCGAGTCAGGGAAAGCGAATTTATGTAGAATACGGGGCATTTGGAGTATGAAACTCTAGAATTGATACAAATGGCAATGTAACACTTTATCTACAGAAAAGAAGTTAACGTGATTTAAGCGACTGACTTACCTGACCATCTCTGTAAGCACCCTGTAATCCCACAGAGATCGTGGATCTAACTCTCGAAGGGAAGAAACCATTGAAAATCCTTTTTGGCTTGTGCATGGGACGAATTTCTTGGTATGATTTTAAGGTGTTAAAATCGATGATACTAGGGCAGCTAAACTGTCTTTTATTTCCCGAATTCTTGCGTTCAGCCGCTAGTTTCCTTAAGTCTATTCGGTCACCGTTTTGTATTTGTCTGTTGGCAAGCGTACCCTTTGTATTGAACGCGCTCGATGAAGTTGGGTAGAAACCTTTCCGGTCCGAAGCAAATATCTTGTCTTCAAGGCTTGGAAAGACTATGATTTTTAACGATGTGACAGGATCCATGGCCAAGAGAAATGTACTTTCTTTCGTAGACAAAATGTTTCTCACTTGGAGACACAGTCTCCCACATTGCACAAAAACATGGTCCTTATGATCGGATGCGAGGCAGACTATTATGAGCTTCAAAGAAGCCACTTGGCATAATGTCTGTTATGCAAAAGCTTATTGAAATGTGGATTGGACTAAACTACCCATCTGTCTATAACAGTAAGACCGATAACCAATTAAATGACAACAAGATTATTCCCTTGTGGTTAAAATCATTATCTAAAGAGCCTAGCACACGGTTTATTACTGAAGACATGAAACAAAAAAACCTATGATGTCATAATTGCGCGCCCACCAGTCTTTCAACCTCACACAATCAATTTAAGTCTGCGTTTTTCCAAGCTATCACTCGCCTGTTACGTATCTAAAAGAAAACTCCATAGCGGTGAAAGCTAAACCGTAAAAGATCGCTCTTTACGTCCGAGTTCGTTAATTTAAGTGTTATTTGTCCATATAACGCGAATAAACAGTATGGTAATGATATATACATGATTCCACTTTGCTTTTGTGTGCCGGGATTAGAGAATTAGGACATCATTGAAAGTTATGCAGATTTTTTCTTTACTGTTGCCGACTTTTTTCTTAATAAAGATTTGTTTTACTTTCTATTTTTCAGCGATCTTGATTCATCTGGAAAGAGTTCCGTTCTTAAATGTAATACTTATCTCGGGAAAAAATCATGTTGGCTTCAGTTACATTTTAATCTACTTCTTAGAAAGAGTCCCCTGGATATAGTAACTTTTTATATTGTTCCAACAGTAAACATAGTGACTTATTAATGAAGTATTAATTTGCAAATAACTTTAGTGACCTTAAGTTATTTTAAAAGATCGATGATCTGTCGCTTAGATGTTACTTGCGTCGATGATTTATTTCATTTTTCAGAGTTCAGAGATCTCGCACTCAATTATCTTTTTATTTTCATGCACCACTAGAAATCGCTAATACATGCAATGGTCACTCACACACTCAAAACGTGATCAATCTTTTCTTGTACAATATTAGTAAACAATACTCTTCGTATAGTCTACTTGTAAATAACACTACTCTCTCTTTTCAAACATTGTACCGAAACAGTTGTCAGTTTAAAAAATTGCAACAGCAATTACATCCAAAAATTATAAAAATAGCTGTCTTAAAAACTTGGATATTCAATACCCTAAGTTTTTAAGGAATTTTTAACTTGAGAAAATAGAAATTCACTGTTAATTGGTGTGTAGTTTTTGTTTTGTTGAATTGTTTATTTTTAAGGCGTGAAAAAGGCTCTCTCTCTCTCTCTCCCCCTCAAACAGCTCTAAGATCTAGACTTTTTCTTGTCGCTGATTTTATTGCTTATACGTGTCCTTTCAGTCGAATGATCGGCGCCTGTTCATGTATCAGACAAATCAGTCCGGACTTAACGATGCTTTTTGTGTGACACAAAACAACAAACAAACATAAATCAAGTCTCGTACAATATTTAATCCTTCAGTGAAAAACAAAACAATAACCAACCGTAAAAAGCATTCGTCTACTCGCTAATTAGCTGACCTTCCATAAATTTTCTACTTACAGTAAAGTTAGTACTAATAATTTAACTGGAGCTCATAAAAAAACGACTGTCTTGTTACTGTCATGTCGAATGTCTGAATGCCATGATCTTTCACACAGTTTACTTAGAAGTCACGTAAATGTATTCTTTGATGTCTATATGCGCTATAAATGTGTTGTTGAGGCTTCTGAGCAAAAATCTACTCTCACACCTCTGTGAAATGGCGAATAAGCTTAATTAACGCTCGCGGGCTGAAATTAAAAGGTGTTAATCGATGGGATTTTTACACTTTAATTAAAAGCCCTTCATATTTTATACCGTGGGTCATGGAAGACGATTCAAACTCTTGCAAGACTCCTAATCAGCAGTACTTGCCAGAAACGCTGCTTATTGTACTGCACAAGGTTGCTAAAATTGTAAGTCAGTTCGTAATGCCCCAGTCATGGGCGGTATTGAGAAGTGATACCCTGACAAGGAGGTTAATCATGCCCATGGTCCTATGGTTCTAAGGGGCGCATTTGTTCAAAGGCCGATTATCGCTAACCCGGGGCGTTAAATTTTAATCCAGGTTCCTGTTTCTCTTGTTCAAAAACGTATTTTCGGTTCAGTTTGACTCGTCATTTTACAGGATCCAAAGTCAACGTCCACATTTGAAGTCATATTTTATTTAATTATGAGAGAAAATTACTTACATGACTTTACAGGCTATGAGAAAAATTGCATATTAAGCTCAACTACGGCAAAATAAAAAGCTTTTTAGACTGAGACCATTCAAATAGAAAACCGTTTAAAAGAAGTCTTAAAGGTGCATTTTAGAGTGATGTCTCTTTCTATCTAAAATGCAGGAAGAGCCTAGGCGGCATTTTGATATGCACAGGTGTGACAATATGTGTCCATAGCAACGTGAACGATTACGTAATCAAACACATTCTGGTGAGGGCGAAGACGAAACATTGAACAGAATCTGGAAAAAAGGCAAAACAAAAAATAATGATTAGGACAAGAGAAAACCTATCCTGGTAATCTTTGTCCCCTAAAATGACCAAGTTCTCAGGTGCAAAGAATCCAAAACTTTCTCAAGCCATAACCAAGCCTCTTAATATTATAACGCATAGACATGATTGTTGTTTTTTCAAAATATTCCATCGCTCTTATGCCATGCAAACACTTATGTTGATTCTCAGAGAAACAACTTAAGGCTCTGTCTCTATGCTCACAAATAATATCTACAGCAGGCTACAGCAGCCGTTTTTTCTTAGTCCATCCAATGAAACGTAAAAAAGAAAAAAACGGCTATACACGCAACTGGAGGTGTAAAATGGCCAAGGTGTGAAGAAAAGAGACTGGGTGAATGACTGTCCACATTTTAGGAGATTTTTTTAGTAAAAAAAAAGAACTTTAATAATCTTATCCAATAGAAACTCTGTTTCTTGATGCGCTGTAATTTTATCCCGTCATCACACTAAAAAACTTGTAAATGTTTTTTGAATGATGAAAATTTGTTATCAGTGCTCCAAGCATTAGAGGCATTTAGATTCAAGAACCAGGAAGACTACAAGGCCGACATTACATGAAAGGTTTTTCGCATATTCTCAACAATAGAGACCTTTAGATTCTAAGACGAGAATGACTACGAGTACAAGATTTTCTCAATAATAAGTAGTGCTCACGCGTAAGGAAGCATCATTTTGGCGAGAAAATGTGGTAGCCGTCATCATTCTACAACGAGTTTTAACGAGAGTGCCGTAGTGACGGAAAAAGTTATCAAATGTTAGAAATTTTAGCATTTTGTAATCTGGAGAGGGCGCAACTCCCTTCCATAATGATAACAGTGCTAACTTTTCTGGTGAAAAAAGTACAAAGAAGAATTCCATCGTTAAATCAAATCTCTTAATCGTAGTTGTTTTCGTTCTCGAATCTAAAGGTCTCTAACATACACCCCGAAAAGCTTCACGATGGTTATTTTTTATTATTTTTTTTCACAGAAAAGTTAGCACGGTTATTTTTAGTGAAGGAGGTTAACTTCTCTCCTGATTGAAAAATGATAAAACTTCTAACCATTGATAAAGCATTATTTCTGCCACTACAACAGCTTCATTAACACTCGGAGTAAGTAGAATGATGACAGCTACTTGCATTTTCTCTCCAAAATGACGCTGGTTCACGCCCAATTACTACCTAGTATTGAGAAAATCGCATAGTTTTCCTCGTCCTAGAATCATAAGGTCTCTATATAATGACCACCACATTTGTGCAATGTAAGGGTAACACAAAAATAAAATTACTAGTAGCCTCTTATTTTTCTTCTTGGACTGTCGCTGCCACTAATGTGTTACATTCACAACAACAAAAACTTTAAAAGCCAACAAGAGACAGTCCACAGAATATAAAGACACCTAAAGTACACCGTCACGTTATTTTTTAACATGAAAACACACACCAATGCTCACCTTTAAATATGGTTGGCTGGGCTAATCTTGATCAGGTCTGTGTGGTGGTGTGCCACAGGGTTGCAGCATTTTCTACAGTAAAGCAGGTTATTATGCTGGTAAGTACAGTTGCTTAAACAAATGGTGATAAGGTAACTTCGAATAATTCATAGGCTTGAATTTTACTCAGGCTGACCACCTAAGGAAGAATTTCTCAGTTCACAGAATATAAAATATGACATAAAAATAAGATGTTGGCTGAACAAGTCTTCTCTTCTTTTTTGTTCCATAGTCTATTTTTTACTTTTTGCATGCTGCCTATTTCTGGATGAAAAGAAACAGTTAAAGTGACAGGCAGGCGTGCATAGAGTATGAAGTGCAAAAAATTATAATTTAATAATACACCTCTTCTTATAGGGAATCTAGAAAAGTCACACAAGTAGCAAAAGAGATGAATAAAGACATTTCAAGTTAATTAAGCTTTCAAACAAACAACATTAAAAAAATAACTGGTAATATATAAGTTTCAGTCAAAATAATTCAACACACTACCTCTAAAAGGTTAAACTTTGTTCTAGCCCTTGATTCATTTTCTACTAAGGCAAAGTAATCCAGTAGATTGTAGTGGCCAATGTAGGATGCTGCACTGTCTCTGTGTTGATTGACTAGCCACTCACTAAAAGACACAAACAAACAAAAAACACATTAGCTAGGGAAGGGACTATCCTGTAGATGTTGGTGTTATTCTACTACCAAGATCTAAGCTTGAGCTATCAAATCCTCTCAAAACATTCCGTCAATAGACCTTTTTACCGATACGGTGGCCATATTGAATTAATTCGATTTAAGGAGTATTATAGGATGCCCAGGGGGCATGAGCACATTTCGTTTGCATTTTCGAACGCTTTTCGGGACATTTTTTCTTAAAGTTTTCTTAGAATAAGATTGTAATGGGCAAAAAGATCCTTGTGCCATGTTTTGATGTAATAATGATCACCCTTTTCCCGAGAAATATACAGTGAAAGTCCATATTTCTAATACTAAACTTGAAAAAAGGTAATCATTATTACATCAAAAGACGGCACAAGGATGATTTTGCCCATTACAATCTTATTCTAAGAAAACTTTAAGAAAAAATGTCCTGAAAAGCGCTCGAAAATACAAACGAAATGTGCTCATGCCCCCTGGGCATCCTATAATACTCCTTAAATCGAATTAATTTAATATGGCTGCCGTATCAGTAAAAAAGTCTATTGCAATACTTGATATTAATGTGCCAGCAGAAGTGCATTGGTTCTTGTAACAAAAGATTCCTTTGTTTTACTCATTACATATTTGAATAACAAAAACAATGTTTGTAAACAGCAATGTCTCCTACAGATTGTAGTAGAACTTTATTTCCAAAGTGAGTTTTCACAAACATCCCACTTGGCACAACCTCCTCCCACCACATCAAGGAAATGACATTCATATCCACATAAGAATTTGCTTTCCCACATTGAAAAAACACTTGAAAGAGTGAAGCAGCACAGCGATTTTCAACCCACTAAAACAATCATAATTATGTTTTGATCAATAACAAACAACTCAATTGCTTCAATCAATTTTGAAAGCTGCCATCTTTGCATGGTTGCAATTCAGTGACAAGATTTTAGGTAACTTCATTCACTTACAATTTTGTTGTGTCTGAATGCCCAGTTCCTACATACTTTGACTGCACTACGATGAAAGAGAAAATATGTTTGTTACAGCAGTACACACAAACAAACTAATAAAGACAAGATTTTCAGCAATTAAAAACTCACAAAATATAGTTGGTTTTTGAAAGTAGCAAATGTCCTCTAGCAAACATTTTTGCAAGCAAACATTTCTCCAGTAAAAAATTAAGAGTGAAATGAAAGTTTTCTTGAAAAATTCTGTTCTTGAAAAAATTTGAGAGTGAAATGAAAGTGTTCTTGTATGCATACATTGAATGTATACCATGAGGAAATGAGGTTGGTTTCATAGCATTAACTGGCCATCAAACCTATGCAAGTTTTTCTGCACATTTGTACTCTACTGGGTGAGAGATGTTTTGTGTGCAACTTTTTCAGGTTTTTGTTTCACGGTATATTATGATCTTGCTTTTCTACAACACCCTCAACCTCAGGGACAAAACGTAGCTACTGAAGTTACTGCTTTTTCAGCCAAAAAAAATTGCTTGCATAACCTTTGCTAATGGACTAAACAATAAAATTTGAGCCATGAAAAGAAGAACAAGAAGAGAGCATAACCTGAGGTATTCCAGAGAGGTTTGTCTACCGAGAGTTTAATTTTAAAATGAATTCATTATTGACTGTTAGTGAACTTACGATGTTCCAGTTGACTGTGAATGTTGTATCTGTCCGTCTGCAGAGTAAAAATGTGAGGATCAGATACAAATGGATGAAGAGCACTGGGTAACTTTTCAGATATTAGACACGTGATTTTCAACCTTAGTTTCCTGGCAGACGGTAGTCAACATGTTGCTACTGTAAACATACAACTAGCAAAACACAAACTGACCACCATGTAGCATGCAACAAAATTAATATTATATGGTACTGCAATCACTATATTTTAGATACACATGTATTAACTTACTAAATCCTATTTTAACTACCCACCTACTACCAATATATCCCACCGATACCCTCTAACACAAGGAAACCAGTAATTCCGACTAGAAGATCAAATGGTTGAGCCATAACATTCTGACCAAAGACATCCTCACAAGTTTTAATAGACGGTTCACAGTCCCCTATTTTTTCATAAGATTGTCAAGATCAAGCACATTAGTTTTGACACTCATCCAAGATGGCAGCCCTTAATGCAAAGCGCTCATTGATCTTAGAAAAATAGGGGACTGTGAACAGTCTAGAGTTTTGAGCATTTCTGAAGCCCTTATGAAGGCAACAATTTTAGCATATTGTGATACTATTACACGTAGGAAACAAAGTCAACACTAAGCACCCTTTTTGGAAAACCTTAAAGGGAATTGAGTCGATTTTCATTATTAATCCTATGCTATTCGTCCAGATTTGAAAGTGAAGTGTGAGAAATTGTCCTTGATGTGCGAGATCGACATCTTTCGTCCACAGGCATGAGACATATAAATAGGTGAGAGTTGGCATATATATGAAATACAGAAAAAGATTGTGTGGGAGCCCTTTGTTCAGACATGATGCTTTTGCTGTGCTTTTGTCAGAACTTAATTCAAGAATTAAGTTTAGCAAGGTAGAGGTATGGCGTATGGACTGGGACAAAGTTATTTTAACACAATAAGAACAAAGTTTTCAAGCACGCAGCATCGCTGAAAGTAAGCATAATAAAGCTCAAATGCATTCATGCCAGCTATGACTTACACATGACAGCATTTAACTAGACTTCAAACGTGCATTTCTGCTGCTCAGCAGTTTAAAGAGTAAGTTAAATATAAATTCATCTTTTGACAGTTTAAAATATCAAAGAAGTACCACCAAATGCGGCAAAAAAACTTACCATTTTGAAGATTCTACCAAAACGTGACCAAATATGGCGTCTGTGTAGGGTCCCTCTGTGTAAGTTGTAAAGTAAAAAGTAAATATTGTTTTCAGCGGCTATTCCCAATGACGCATGCTCACTGAAAGCGCCAAATTCAAAATGGCGGTTCGAGCGGAAGATCTTTCAAACGCAGAGCAACAAATTGATGGACTAAGCGGCGAAAAATACAGAGAAATCGGCGATCAAGCAGTGTGGTCCTTATCCTCATGCAAACCTGGATTTGGCGTAGAACAACTGCGCGATGGAAACTTAGAAACGTACTGGCAATCGGACGGCCCTCAACCGCACTTGGTCAGTATTCAATTCCGTCGAAAGACAGCCATTCAGAACCTTTGTTTGTATGCCGATTACAAAGCTGATGAAAGTTATACACCTAGTAAAATATCCATTCGAGCTGGAAACCATTTTCATGATTTGCATCAGATAGAACTGATAGAGCTTGAGGAGCCGAGTGGATGGTTAACCGTTTCGTTGTCTGATGGAGATAAGCCGTTGAGAACTTACATGCTGCAGATCGCTGTTTTGGCGAATCATCAGAATGGCAGGGATACTCACATGCGGCAGATCAAGATTCACGCACCTTTAGCTGATTCTGGAACGTACAAGATGCCAACATTCACTTCTGTGGAGTGCGCTATGTACAGTACAATTAAGTGAAAGTAGTTCATATGACTTCAACTGATAATCAAATAAGGAACAGTAGTCAGTGAAACATTAGTCAATATACAAGTTCAATGACTAAAGTTATTGAACTTGTACATTTTGGGATTGATTTATTTAGGACAAAATTCGTGCACTTTCAACTGATTCCGGAAATCACAAAGTTACATCATTCACTCCGATTGCATTGTCCACTGGATAGAGATTTATCAAGTGGATAGCATTTTCCACCTTTTAAACAAGTCAGACCCAGTCATTTAGCCCCAAAGATACTGGTACTGGGGAGGTAAGGGAGGGGTAGTACTTGTGGGAATTCTTGGTGGGAGTGTGCTGCCCAGTTCATCAAATCCCTTCTCTATTTCAAACCATGTCATTTTCCACACCCGTTTTCAGACCTCGCCTCTATGTAATCATTACTTAGATTAGAACACCAACAAAGACGTGTCTCTAAATTCATTTCAAATTCACATATGACTCCCTCTTTCTTATTCACTTGGGATTGAAATGACAAAAAAGTTCATACCCAGTTCCAGCCCAAAATGGGTTAAGTCTAAACTCATTTTCAGACCAAAGTGGCACAAAAAATACCTTTAGGGGTGGAACATACCTCTTAGACTTATATAGTACCCCCCTCCCCATGTACCAGTAACAATGACCAGCCAAAAGTGATTTTTTGGCATGTCTGGAATATTAATATAGTCTAAGGCCTAACTCTCTTTGAACAGCATTCAAGACAAGGAACAAGAAAGTAAAAAATAAGTACTAAATATGGAAGATCTCAGGAAGAGGCCTGTTTAGGGGCTGACCATTTGACTTTTAAGGGGGGGGGAGAGTATGGGTGATTTGGTTTGGGCCAAAAAAAAATTTTTTTTTCTCTAAACCTCTAGTGATAGAATCTTCTTCCCCTACAAACAACAGTGTAAGATTTTTTTTCAGAATTATAAGCCATGAAAGATATTTTTTTCAGTGTTTTTTCCCCAGGTATTTCCTTACAAGAATTTTTTCTCCTCGAAATCAGTCTGCAAGATATTTTTTTCCAGAAATCACCCATACCCCCCTTCAAAAGTGAAACGGTCAGCCCCTTAGTAGGTGAGGGGTATGGATGTCCATAGTCTGACTGGTGTCTGTATTTGCCTATTGAGGAGAAAACCATGTCCCTGTGGGTATTTTACTATTTGCACTTGACTTCATCGCTCTTGCCGTTTTAGTCCATCTTTGTGTTGTTTGTCACCACTGGGAGCCATTCAATATTGCCTTACACTTTCAAGGCCACATTACTGTCTAATTGTCAGAATTTACCCTTACTGAGCTTATGGTTGGATTCACGAAACTCTCTTGACAAAAAGATGGACTATATACTATTAGTAAAATCCAAGTAGTGGTCTATTATCAATGCTACATTCTGATTGGTTGAGCTACTACTAGGCTATTATGTTATAGCCTACTAGTAGTGAAAAGCGCGGGCCTTTTGGCAGCAAAAAAGGATTAAAGTCTAGTTTTAACTAGCTAAAAATTTTTTATTCTCAATATTTTTGACCAACTAGTTGGATTTTACTAAGACAATTATTCCTCTCGCCCTCATGGTCTCTGAGTCAATAGCCCATTCGTCCTTCAGCGTCATGGGCTATTGACTCAGAGCCTGAATAATTGTTAATTAGAAAGTTTTCAAGAATCTCACTCCTGGTTTCTAGATGTCCTGACAGATGGGCTTTTCAGGTCAATTTCTCTCCACAAGAAAACACTTCCGGGAAAATAGGGAGTCTGAAGATCATCACTGCATAAAAATACACCTCTTATGCTACATATCTTTTCCAATGTGATTTCCTCTTTTCCAGGTGATTTCCTCTACAGTTCAGTTCTTTTACATTGTCTTATATTTTAAAAGAACTGTCTAGCTCATTAAGACCGAGAATTGGCTAAGTAAGGAGATTGTTCTAATGTTACTGGTAATGTCTAAATAAACAGTCAAAAAGTCTACAAAATTTCAGGCACAATGAACCTCATCTTGTAAAAAGTAGTGGAACTACATTATTTCTATTTTTTTTTAATGATTACCCATTGAATTTGACAAATAAAATTCTTGCAACTCCAAGACTGCTTTTTAAGAGGAAAAAAATTTTAAAACATATACATATTCACTTTTTATCTTAAAATGTACTGAAAATGCCAGCATATTTCCAGTATTGATGTATTTATAAAAAAATTAGTTTTTTTATTCAAGGTTTATGTCATCAACTGATTGCTGCAGCTCTTCTAGATGACTTTCACCATTTCCCTGCTGATCTTTTTCCACTGTTAAGATTTCATTGTTAATAGTAGTGTCTTTTTTACATGAACAGCTTTTTAATTCTTCCATGTAATGCTGTCTGAGGTACTCTCGTGACCTGATATCTGCCTGAAAGACAAAAAATGATTATGTTAGACAAAATTTTCTTATCCTTCTCACCAATGGATAGTTTGTGTATTCTGCATAGCTCTTAGCAAGTTTGTGCAGCAATATATTAGTGTAAAAATATAAAAATGGAGAGAATAAATTTTTGTCTTCACATACTATAAATAATAAATTATTATTATTATTTTCCTCACTTTTTGCCAGCTAATGAACTGACATAATTTTTCTCCCCTCAAATGCCTACTTACATGCTATGATTTGTTTCTCCATTCATAAATATATTGTTAGTAATGATTTAGGCCGTGAAATATGTATGACCAGTCAAGCAAAGGATGAACAGTGTGGAATAGCTGTTGAAATGAAGTAGGATTTTATCTCTGATACAAGGTCCTGAAGCTGACGATCTGGCGAGAAAATCTTTATCCCATACCCATGAACATTACATCTTTCTAAATATGTAAAAGGTATGACATTTGGTTCCTGTATTTTCAATTATACCATTCTTACTTGTCTAATTGGTTCTGGAATTCTGTATTGACAGCACGCATGTGTCAGTCTAACAGCTGTTTCCAGGCCTATCTTATGCCCAACTGACACATAGATAGGGTTACATGATCTGTCAGTACTTCTTAGAGCCTAAAATGAAATCAAAATAAGCTGAATTACCCCACAGTTAACCTTGTAGTTTTATAAAGGAAAAAAAGGAATAACTTATGGCCTTATATTTACACACACTTCTTCCATATTATTGCAAAATGAAGCTAAAAAAATTTACCTTGCCCCATATTGTACCAGAGGAGCCTTGAAGAGGAAAGCTATCTCCACTAGTTTTGAGAAGGTTTTTGACCTGTTGATAGAGGAAGCAAACCCATGATTGTTTTCAATTTATTGACAACATGACAAAAATCAAATTTCAGCATTAACTGGTCACCCTAGAGAAAATTGTTCAATAAACCACAGACTTCTTTAAACCATCTCTTTATAATAATATTAGGCAGACAGTGACCAGAAAACTGCTTGACTAGCTGAAAATGGTTTTGCTTTATGAAAAGTTCCAGCATCAAATGGCAGAGTGCAAAAAGAGTTGTGTCCCATAGCCAAGATCTTGTGGATGAATTAGGGCTAGGAGACAAAGGAAATTGAGAATCAACCTTTAAAAAAGTTGAACCCAGATTTAATTTTGACCTGTAACATATTCACTTTAAGTCCTGACCTGATCAGCATGTTGGGAGTCTCGCTGAATCCCATCAACATGGAAAAGAGTCTTAGCCACACCTACTGTGGGGATGCCTGTCAGTACCCCCAGGTGACAAGCAATTCCAAAACCTAGTCATAAGCAACGTGAACAAGTAAATCATGCTACCAACAATGTGCCAGTAGGAAACTAATGGAGTTGAAACCACTCTTTCAACATAATTTACTCATGGACTGCAGGAGTTTTAATAATTTTTTCAATAACTGGCTACTGATAGTGGATTAGGTGGCTGTGACCAGGAAAGTTTGTTGTTATAACATTAACCTTCTAAATAAAATGTAACGGAGAATTATGAAGTTCCCCAGGCAGAGATGGGCCTTAAATGACTAGCTTTAATTGAAAGTACTGGGATGAACTCCTTGTGACAAGCTCACTGTGGCAAGGAACTTCCTAATTTGCAGTACAACCGAAGCCCTCTGAAGAACTGAAAAGAGAATTCAATAAGGTTGTCCTATTAACGAGGTCCTCTTAGGGTGGAGGGGGGGGGGGGGTGTATACCAATAGTCTGAATTTCAAATACGGTACACAGTATTTAACCCATCTTTAAGTTGTATGTTGCCTTTTCATCCAATCTTTAATAGGTCGCTGTTTCAGGGTCGTGTCACTTGCTGGAATTTTAACCCTAACAAGGCCTCATTAACTATGGTTCTGATACAGTGGTTGTAGTTTAGTCATAGATTTCTTGTTTTTCCTCTTACACAGATTTGGGACAAGTGTAGCAGAGAAAACTAAGACTTGTTTGACTCTATTGAGTCAAATGAACAAGAACTTTAAAGACTTGTGTGACTCCTTGAATCACATTGAATAGGCCTTTTTATATATTTACTATGATATGTAGACAATCAGGTATTGATTGTGGAAAATGATAGTCAAACTTTTGCAATTGGAGTGGGTTGTTCTTCTTTTCATGTGTTTCGTGTAAGAGTTCTTTATCTAGAACTTTGCTGTAAAGCCCATTTGCAGTAAAGTCCATTTATCTTAAATCAAGATTTGCAGTTGGTGTCTGTATTCCACTGCAACACAAGCACACCTTTACTTGGGATAACTTTTTAAAGAAATTATATTAAATAGTATAAAGACTTTACCGTCGACCAAGGTTTCGGCCTTTACGTCAGCCGACAGGACAATGCCACTCGGCCAATATATCGACGGACTCTTTTCCGAGACTCGGTCGACTCTCGACCGACATAGCGTCCAATATGTTGATCGACAGTTGACCGAGATATCAACCAATACATTGATCGACGCCCCCCAAAAGATACATGATCCATTTAATGTAATGAGAAATCAAACCTCTTGGATGTAACATTCCATTTCCATCAACTAAAATGACCTGAGGAACCAGTTCTGGTTTACTCTTTAGCAGTCTGGAGACACAATTAACAAGGAATTCAACTTCTCTGAAAGCCAGATATTCTGGAACATAAGGTGATGAAAGGTGCACCATGGTTAGATCCTCATATACAACCTGAATTATTAAAGAATATTTGAACATCTTTATTCGCAAGATCCTCTGCAATGACGTTTTACTTTACTGAACTAAATACTGCAGATGGTGTTAGCCTGAAAAATAATTTAAATCGTAGAATTCATGATTGCTCTGCACAATACTCCACCAGTTTAAGGGTTATTACTTTGGCCCGACTCATAATTAAATGCAAAATGAAGTACAACAGAAACAATAGGGACAAGAATACGATTAAGTTACTAGAAAAGGGAAGATTCGAAAGTGCTATACAACATTAAAAGGGTAATCCCTAAGTAAGATAAGAAATGGACCAATTTCACCAACTAAATATTATGGCTTAATACCAAGGGCAACACCAACAACAACCATAATTGGTAAGGAAATTCAAGGTTGGTAAGATTTCAAAACCAATAATTGATAAAATTATTTTATCAATGCACAGGGGAATAGGCAAGATTCTTTCAGTATGGGATCTTGCCGAGCATCTCACTGGGATATGGGAACAGTGGGCACTCATGTCATTGTAGGATCAGCCCCTAGGTAATCTAGGGTATCGAACTCTGCCTGAACTGCACTATATTTTCCAGCCCAAAAGTTGACTCTCTTTTACTTGGGCATGTTTAAAAATTCATAAAAATTCATAGAGAATCAGGTAATGAAAGAACTTCTAGAATACACAACTGTACCTTTAAGTCAGGAAAACTAAGCACAATTAAGCATGCACAAGCATGATCAGCATCTCCCTTGGGAAAAGAAATATCCACTCCACCAATCAGATTCAATTCACTGAAAGGCTCATCACTTGAAACTCCCCAGTTAATGCAGTCTTCAGTCACAAGTTTCTTCTTTAGTTCAATTTGTTCCCTAGAAAATAGAGTGGTGGATTCAGTTCTTCAAGTAGGAGCCCACTCATCCACCTCATGAAAACCCTAAGATAAAAGGGAGGCCAGCCTCAAAACTATTGAGTTTTTTCTTGGCCCTGCAGGTTTCAGTCAGGGTTCTCAATAGAAGGCGGCACCCGGCGATTGATCGCTGCTTACTTTGGGATTTATAGCCGCTTACTTTGTGTGTAGGTCGCTTTTCTTTGCTTTGTTTTGACACCTCTGGCTTTGCTGAAGGGCCACCTACTTTATCAGTGATCACCTCCTACTTAAAAATCTATTGAGAACCCTGTTCAGTTTCACCTAACAATACGGTAAGGACCTGCCACTGATAATTCTGAATAATATGCACCCAGCCTGGTCAACAGATGAAAATCAATGATTGGGATTCAGTCAATAACTAGGTGTTTGTTAACAGAATTGGATTGTCACCGGCAAATTGATGATCAACTCACAAGTAAATCAGTTGTTCCTTCTTTAGGCACCTAGGCACAGATAACAAACAACAAAAGAAACAATTGACCAAACAATGAAGCCTCCAGAAGAACTCTATTGTTTGGTCCCTTTGTTTCTTTTGGGATGAGGGTACCTGCAGAAAGACCCAATCTATGCTATCACTTGTCATTGATATCACATACCGTGGGTGACAGTGAGATCACTTTAAGAGTTGTTGCTTTGTTAAGAACCGATCCAAGAGCAAAACAACTAACAAAATTTTCCAATTAATCGATTAATAATATTGGCATCGATTAAATATACCGATTGTATCGCTATCAATTATTTATATCGACTGAATCCGGTTAACTTCTAGAAATAAAAAATTAACTGGTTTCATACTAAAATGCCCACAGAAAATTTAAGTTTGTAAGTTTCTTGAGAACTAATCCGACCTTTTCCATGTTTCCACGATCTCATTTTCAACCAGTTGTTCCGATTCTTCCGAATCATTGGAAGCCATTTTGATTGCTTGGAACTTTCTCTTTTAACTCGTGATCATTACACCTAAGCATGGAAAATGCGATTCATTGTCGCCAGAATGTGGAACGTTCGTATGAAGAATGCATTGCAAAAGTGATCATCATCCTTTGTTAGAGCCATAGAAGAATAGAAAGTTCCACAACATCTTCAGAACTTTGCATCATATCAAGCCAGCTGAAGTTCGCTGATGTTTGCAAGATTCGCGCCAATAGATCCCGCTTGTGTGACTTGTAAGCGAGGCTGGCATTTCCATAGCAACTAAGAAACCATAAAAGTTGTTTTACTCCGCCATCTTGGGAAATTTTATGGAAAAGTAGAGAAGTTATGGCAGAGAATCCAGAAGGCGGTGTAGCCCAGGAAACTGGAGGATATGATTACAAACGGCTTCACAGTTATCCCCTAATTCGCGTAAGTTGAAATTAAGTTTAGGGAGGATGATGCAAGGCTGCCCCTGTTATAATTAAGTCTTCCACCTCCGTCAAATATGTTTTTTTTTTCAGTATTCGGACATGAACGACGAAATGCGAACAGAAGCAATGGAGCTCTGTGTTACAGCTTGTGAAAAGTTTTCTTCGAATAACGAGGTTTGTTGGGCGTATTCCTTTAAGTGAATGGTAGCTCTTGGGTAACCACAGCAGCTTTTAGTGTAAGGCCCCGTTCGTTTTTTAGTGAAGGGAGAATGTCTGTTCACACCTATCCCTCAGACCCCTTCAATCCTAGCCGCCCTTCATCCCTGGTGTTGACTTACCTTAAAGGGGCTGGATGGATCAAATAATTCACCAAGTGACTTGTGATCTAACGTCAAATTCTTCCTGAATCATGACTGTGAAAGCATACACAAGTCTTATATTGAAAGAAAGAATCCTAATAATCTAATAGAAGAACACAGTTTATCAGAAGTCAATTGAGGCTTTATTCCTATCAGCCCTTCCTTGAATCATTTAAGACCAGCAGTAGGTGAATTAGTGCGGTTAATATCAAGTGACTTAATCATAAGTCAATGATAAATAGAACAAAGATATCATAATTAATTGTCAATGTTATGTTTTGAATCCTTCAGCCCACCTCTGCTGCAGTGTAAGGATAAAGCAATAAAAAGAAAGGGGAATGAATAGTTTTATCATTGTCATCATCATCATCATCATCATAATTCAAATGTGCACTCTGTTATGTTTTCAGGCTGCTGCGAAAATGATAAAAGAAAGCATGGACAAAAAGTTTGGTTCATCCTGGCATGCAGTAGTGGGAGAAGGTTATGGCTTTGAGCTCACACATGAAGTCAAAAATCTTCTTTACATGTTTTTTGGAGGGACTGTGGCTGTTTGTATTTGGAAGTGCTCATGAAAAGAAAATGACATCCATTGATGAACTATTCTTGTATATATATATAACATTTCTGACATAATTATACCATGGAAAATATACTGGTCGGTTCTGAAGATCATCATCACACTGGACAAAATATTTTTCACTATTTTTGTCTTGTCCATGGAGTTTGATGCTATAAGTTGGCTGTGCATTGTGTTAAGGAATGTCAGTCTTGGTCATGGTGGCTTAATTTGAAATCATAGGCTTTACCAAGGCAAATAGCTTCACTGGGGCTTTGTAAATTTTTGTTATTGTTAAAAAGTCTACCATTAAAGGAAGGCAACTTGGAAATTATTTCCATCAAATAAATTTTTTAAAAATGCAGCATTTGGACTGTTGATTTATTCATGACATAGTCATTTAAGTACTTTTCTTTATCTGAGGAATAGGGGCTGGTTGAAAACTTCTTGTTGTACCAAAATAGAGCAAACATGTTACATTAACCTCCTCATACCTATTATGGTGTGATGTGAGTTAACAGGAAAAAGTTTTCAAGTTTAAAAACAGGAAATAAATAATGGTACTGTTCCATTTGGCGGAAAATTCTTACCAGTCTTCTACATACACTCACTTTCAATGTCACTGAGCTCTTTTAAGATGGTTAAAGCCATCTGCCTGTGATCAGATTAAATCATAAAAATATAATCCAGTCTTCTTGTACAAGTTTTACAGTGCGATCATGGCAATGTTTTAAGTTATGAAATGTGTGGTTCCAGAAAATATCCAGACCCCCACCACGGAGGGAATTGGAAATTCCAGGGGGGTGGGGGGGTCAGAGGCCCAGGAAATTCCAGAAGGGAGGGGGGTTGGACCATAAAATCACTTTCCAGGGGGGCGATATCATTTTGTTTTCGACCTGAGATCGAACATTGCTTCTTACCGACCTGGTAGATCATTTTTAGGACATAAATAACTTGAAATATATCACTTAAGATTGTTCCTTTTAAACTTAACCAGGTTTCCTTTCTTCCAAAAGCGTTTTGGATGTAATTTCAAAGGAATTAGACCGACTACAACTCGTTTTATCGCATGCTCGTATATTCGGCCGCCATTACTCGTTACCAGTCTTCCCCAAAACATCAACGCATGCAACACATCACGCAACACAACACGTTGCGTCAGTCGATCGATAGATCAGAAGAGTGGCAATTTTGCCTCACGAAGCACAAGCTATACATTGTAACCATTTTAGAATGAAGAGTTTTTATTCTCCTTTTCATTTTCCCTTAATTTTGTGGTTGAACGTGTGGCATGTTCTTGATCGAATTCTCGCTGAAATGGTGTCGATTTCACCAAACATTTATTACGGCGATCGCGCATCACGTCGCATCAGTCGATCGAAAAACAGTAAATTGAACTTGGTTTCCCTTCAAGATGCACGGGGTATTCATTGTTATCATTTCAGAATTCAGAGTTTTTATTCTCCTCTTTGTTTTGCATGAATTTTGTGGTCGTAAGTTTGACTTGTTCTGCATTCCCGCACGAAATGGCGTTAATTCTATCAACATTACGCCCATGAGACGAATAACAAATCGAAGCTTGCCCTGATTAAGGTGAATTCACAAATATAACCGACTTGTTAACTTTCTCTGTTTCATTTAAAGTAAGAGATGAGCAAAAATTACAGATCAGGTTACTTTGTGGTGGTGTAGTGGGTTTTAATGTTGCGAGATCACTCAAATAAATGGATACAGAAGCATACAAGCTTCTGATGGAAACAGTTGGATACTAACCATAAGTTACCTCATTCTTCTACTTTAATAGTCTTTCTTCGTGAAAATGAACTTTTCCAGAGGGGTTGGGGGGTCTTTGTCACATTTGTGGAAATTCCGAAGGGGTGGGGGGTCATCAGTTCCCTGCCAAAATGGAAAATCCAGGGAGGTGGGGGGGCCCTAAGTGAAATTCCCTCCGTGGTGGGGGTCTGGATATTTTCTGGAACTACACAATGATGAATATATGAATTTCATAAATTTGAACTGCAGGATGAAGAAATAAGATCAAAGAAAGAAAGAAATGGAGAAGATCATCAAAGTTAAATACACAACTTACGCATTTGTGAAAAGAAAGCCTGAAAAAAGCAGGCTTGCTGGGATTCAAACCCTGACCTCTGCGATACCAGTGCAGCGCTCTAACTGGGAGCTGGTCACTGCCGGATGTCACACTATTTACTATTTTTTTAAGAACCTAAAACTTGTCATCGCATCAAACAAATTCCAAATATAATGGTCCAGTTTGGCTATTTAAGGCTATTAATTTTGGACATTGAAACTGTTTCCTGTCGTCTGTTTCAAGAGATGTCAAGACAGACCTGGACTGAGACTTGAAAAAGTTGGGTAATGTGTTCAAGTTTTAATGCTATGCCTGCAAAAATCACCAAAACATTTGTTATTGTCAGTGCTCTCTGACAAAATTTGGTTGATATCATTTTCATTCTACAGGAACATTTTCTATATGGGTAAAGAACTATTAAATTAAGTAATACCCTGTTCTTCCTAAGCTGTTATTGAATTCCCGTAAAATAAAATGAATTTCTATTATTTTTCTGTTAATGAAAGGCAAAAGTATTTTTTTAAAGTAAATAAGCAAAGTCACATTACTTGCAGCAACTGTGCTTTTTTCAACCTTTACTATTTTCCACCATTATTTAGTATTTCCTTTCCTTTCTTTTATCCTAAACCTTGAACATTTTTTTCAGGTACGAACATGCTTCATATAGGTAAGTTACTCAAAGTGACACCCCTACCCATGGAATCCTTCAACATAAAAGAACTACTCTCAAACTTTAGGATAGAAAATCACCCACGAATAATTATTGAAAGTAGACTTTTGACACTCTCCCTGGATATTTCTGACAAAATATCCTAGAAAGACCATGTAAAAGTGATACGATTTTGTGTATGATTAAGGGTTGATGATGATGATGATGAAATCTATGTCACGAAGCTCGCTTTTGATGAAAAGATAATCTTGGAGATAAAAGTGATTTAAGCCATGACCAGGTCGTGTTACCAATCTGATCAAAATTGACAATGTTGTGTGATGACTGCAAAGAAATATACTAAAAAGTGTATTGCACGTTCAGATTTTGTTTTGCTAAAGGCCTGGTGGTTTCTCGAGGTCTCCTCGGCTAACAACTTGCTGTATCCTCTAAAATTTATTCTAATACAAAGGCTTGTAAAATGATGAATGAAATGATGCTTAGTATATAGATTTACCCAAGGAAAAAGGGGAGCTCCCATTAATAAATTTCAGGAGCTTTGGGTAAAAGGCTCTTGTAAATTTATTAGACTTACTACTTCACAAAAAAAACCATGTACCCATCGCAAAGAAATCCACCTAAAGTTGAGCCTGCGATCAATTAGAAACTGGTAGCTTGTCAGCAGATAACTTCAAAAAAGAAGAGACCTAGATGGCTTGACACCTGAGCCCGCGATATGGTCATGTGGTATTGGTCAGCGGATACCTGTTTTGACAGCTGTCAATTGACCGCAACATGGATGTGCAATAGGCTCCCATACCAGCTAGAAATGAGAGATGAGAAATGAGATTTCACATTGGTTGCCATGTGGTGCGGACAGTCGGACAGAAGTACGGTCATGTGACAACAAAAATTTCTCGGAAGGAAAGATAACCAAATTTTCTTAGCTATGCATGGGTCTCCGCTCGCGCGCGTGTGGAGCTCCGCCATTAAGCCTGGCACCAGTTGTTCAAAAGGTGGATAGTGCTATCCACTGGATACATCACTATCCAGCGTAAGTCGCTAATCACCGTGAGTCCATAATTCAAATTTATTGCGCATGCATTCGTTCCGTCCTAGAATATGCATGCCAGGCTTTCCATTCCAGCTTGTCAGCCTATTTGTCCGACCAAATAGAGAGGGTTCAGAAAAGAGTCTTGAGAATTCTATTCCCAGAGGTCTCGTATAGCAAGGCCCTGGAAGATGCAGGTTTAAAAACACTTTTTCATAGACGCGAGGAATTATGTAGCACTCTGTTTAAACAAATTGCCGAGAGCGCCTACCCAGCATAAACTAGCTGGCCTGCTACCCGCGCGAAACGAGCAGTGAGAGATATAACTTTAGGAATAGACGTATGTTGACTATGTTTTCAGTCTCACGTGTAAAAACAAAGAGGTTTGGAAATTCTTTTATAATACACTATGCAGATAAGCAACAATTGTAAAATGAATAGTACTTTCATACTAGATTTGATGTAATTTTATCATTATATAATACTTTTTTTCTAGTGCTGTAGTTAGGAATTTTTATAAGGTTAAATTTTTGTCACATGTTCATAACACAAGTAATTCAGCTTGTAGCTGCTAGTTGTGATTTTAAATAAACGATTATCATCCAGCGGATAACGTAATTGGTCTTCGTATTACTTATCCGCTGGATAGCGATTTATCCGGTGTATAGTGCTATCCAACTTTTGAACATCCGGGCCTGTTGCTTTTTGTATTTTCTTCTTTTCGTTGTTGATAGAAAATTCGAGCGACGAACGGCCACCCTTGGGAACTGAGGAACTCAGGGACTTGAGGAACTGACCGCTTAAAACAGGATCACAAAGGCGGATATCACTAAAAATACTCACTGGGCGTGGTCTAATGTCAATTTTAATGGCGTCTCATACAAAAACACTTCATGCAAGAAACAATAGCACAATCAACACTCTTTCAAGCGATCAATACTTTAAACAAAGTTCAGTGCCAACTTGTAACGTAACTTTATAATATACGTCACATTGTGTAAAAGTACTGTGCAATAAATTGTCCTCTACTCGAGCTCTTCTATGGTATACAGTACTGTATTTCGCTATGACTTACAGTTCACAAGAAGTGGAGGTTCATGGCCTAGAAATCCCTTGCGCGTATAAGTTTGAAGGCGGTTCATTCTCCATCACATGGCTGAAGAACAATCTAATTAAAGAAGAATTTCTAGCTAAAGAGTGAAGCATATTTAAAACGAACTTTATTTTAGCGTTCGTGATATGTTACTGTACTTCAGAACTTTGCGGACATCTGAAAAGCGTTAACGATACTAGTTTCAGTTTCAGTTTCAGTTTATTTATTTGCCAGGAAAAAATATATATATATATATACATACAGGTCATACAGACATTCAATATGTTAAAAAAATGTTAGTTAAATATTAAAGAGACGTAAGTTGTAGGTAAAAGAATT